AACCAAAGATCAAACAATCTTGTTGACCCCTCTGGGCAAGTTATGCTCCTCTATCAATGGCAGTCTTCTCTCATACCAGTCAAAGATGTCATGTCTCCAGTTCCAACATATTTGTACTACTTTGCTACTCCATTTGGCCCACCTCACCATTACTTATTTATTCATCATAATGGCCTAGGGACCTGGGGTGTGTCATGCAGTATACCCTTTTCCAAAACAGCTTTACTTGCTAATGTTTATTGCAATGAGCTACAATGAGTCTGGTTCAGGGCTTCTGCCTTCTGTTACACCATCAGTACTGGAACCTCACCCAGACACCTCTTGGATATCCTACTGTTGCTCAAAGTCATGGAGATCCTGTGGCTATGCTTCTGCAGGACTGGCTCTTTCCACCTTCTCCACCAGCTCATAGATAGGGTAAATGTTGGGGTGACCCAACTCAAAGCCCTAGATCAGAGCATCAGTGGTTATTGAGTTATTCAGCACTGGTCTTTGCTATGCTGTCCTCCAGCCCAGGGGTGGGGGCAGAGCCAGTCCTGAATATTTTTAAGGTTCATTTATTTTATGTATAGAAGTGTTTTTCTTGCATGTATGTGTTTGTTGTGTTTGTGTCTGTTGCCCTAAGAGTCTGGAAGAAGGTATTGTGAGTTGTCAATGTAGGTACTAGAAACTGAATCCTAGTTCTCACAAAAACGACTGCTGAGCCTTATCCCCATTCACACTTGATTGTTTAAAATTTCACTTTAGTTTAACTTCGGTAGTTTTTAATCTATGTAGAAATTCATTCATATGTTTTACATTTTCCAGTTTAGTGGAATGTTCTTAAGGTAAATTCTAATAATTTTCTTTATTTCACTCGAGCTTGTCATGATGGCTCCATTTTTATGTCTTACTGTATGAGCTTTGGCATTTATTCTTCCTTTTGGTTAGTTTATCTAAATTTTGTCAATATTGTTTATATTGCAAAGGAACCAAATCTATTTCATTGACTCTATGGTTTGTTTTGTTGTTGAGCTATTTCATCAATGTCAGTGCTTTCTTTCCAGCTCCTGATTTTGATGTGTAACTTGTTCTTTTTCCAGAGCCCTAAGGTGAACCATTAACTAAATTACTAGAAATCTCTTTGATTTCTTAATGTAGGCATGTTGACATTTAATCATCTCTCTTAGAACTGTTTACATTGCATCTCACAGATTAAAGTACATTGGGTTTAATTTCCATTTTATTACAGGAGACTTTCTACTCTTGATTTCTTCAAGAAATCATTCATAACTGTGTTGTGAGTTGTTTGATGTCCATGAGTTTGTTTACTTTCTAGAATTTCTCTTGTTTATTTGTAGTCATTTTACTGTTGTCATGTAGAATATAGGGAAATATTTCCATTTCCCCAAATTTGCTCAGACATTCTTTGTGTCCTAACATATGATCTATGTTAAAGAAAGTTGCATGAGCTCCTGAGAATAATTTATATTCTTCAGTATTTGGATAGAACATTCTATAGTTGTCTTTTAAGGCCATTTTACCTTTGATTTCATTTAATTCTGTCTACTTTCCATTCAGATGATGGGTTAATTGTTGGGAATGAAATAACTATGACACCTGGTGACAGTCTGTGTCTTTACATCTAGTATTTTTTTCTGTGTAGAACTGGGTTCACATGTACAGTTCTCTCCATGAATTGTTTCCTTAAACAGTAGGAAGTGAGATTTATTATTTCTCATTACATTTGATTTCAAGTCTATATTGTCAGATTGCATCAGCAACATTTGCTTTTTTTTCAGGCTCCATTTGCCTTGAACATCTTTTTTCATCATTTCATTGTAAGGTTACATCTCTCTTTTATGATGGAATGCAACAAAAATATATTTCCTACTTTTTTATTCTAATCTCCTAAGCTGTGTCTTTTGATTAAGGGATTGACACCATTAATATTAAGATACTACTGAAAGGTGCCTATTGACTATTGTAATTTTGATTATTTTGCCAACATGCTCGAGCTGTTTTCTTTTATTAACTCTTTAGCTGTTGTTCTAGTTTGCTTTATAGTTTCTGTGATAAAACATTCTTCATAGAAACAATGTAGGGGAAGAAAGTATTTATCTGGCTTACACTTTCAGGTGGCAATCTATCTATGGGAGAAGTCAGGGTAGGATATCTAGAAGGAACTGAAGCAGAAACCATTTTACTAATCTGCTTTGTTAGCTTTATCAATGTTTCATGCTCAGTTAGGTTTCTCACACAACTCAGGCTCAGCTACCTACACTGTGTGCTCTAAAACATTATCATCAATGAAGACAACATCTCAAACACCTGGTAACATGTCAATCTGATGGGGACAATATCTTAACTGAAGCTTTCTCAGCTAATTCTAGGTTGTGTCAAGTTGACTAGGGAAGCTAACTTACACTTGTTGCAGTCTTAAGGATACATCTATTTTCCTCTTCAGTATAGAAAAATTCCATAAATAGCCGGGCTGTGGTGGTGCACACATTTAATCCCAGCACTCGGGAGGCAGAGGCAGGCGGATCTCTGTGAGTTCGAGGCCATCCTGGGCTAGAGTGAGTTCCAGGAAAGGTGCAAAACTACACAGAGAAACCCTGTCTCAAAAAACCAAAAAGAAAGAAAAATTCCATAAGTATATTTTATAGAGCTGGGTTGGAGGTCATAAATTCATTTCACATATTTTTAGCATATAAAGTTTCATTTCTCCTTGAGTTATGATAAGTAGCTTTGATGGGTACAGTAGTCTGATTTGTCATTCGTTGTCTTTTAGAACTTGAAATAGAGCTTTTCAGTCCCTCCTGCTTTTCAAAGTCTTAGCTAAAAATCTCTTATTCTGACAGATCTTCCTTTTCATTTAACTTGGTGTTTCTCTCTTTCCAATTTCAATATATTTTCTTTTTTTAAAATATAATATTTTGAGAGGCAGTTCTTTTCTTGTCTTGTCTATGTGAGCTTGTAAATTCTTCCTGTATCTGAATTTCCATCCTAACAAAAAGCAACTTAGAGAGAAAAGGGTTTGTTTTGCTTACAACTCCAGGTTACACTTTACTATTGATAAAAAGTCTTGGTAGGAAGTTAAAACACTGTATTCACAGTCAAAATGAGACAGATAACATGTTTACTCTTGTTTTCTTGCCTACAACTAGTTTTCTCTTTCCTTATTATTTTCTGGGCTCCCATGAGTAGGAAATGCTGCTGCACACACTGTCTAAATTATCAATGAACTATCAGGACACCTTTTCAAAAGCATGCCCAGAGCCAATGTAATCTAGATGATTCCCCATTGGAAATCTCTTCCATGGTTGTTATAGGTTGTGCTAAGTTAACACTGAAAGCTAATGAACACATCATCTCTTTTCCTAAGTATAAGAGATGAACATAAAAATGTTTTCTATACCTATAAACCTTAGATTTCATCTTTGCACAAGGTGACAGATGTCTTGGTGACAGATATCCTACTCCTATCTTCTTATTATATAATTTTTGTTCTTATTATATTGTCCCAAGTCCTCTACCTTGCCTCCACACTATGATTTTTTTCCTGTAAAACATCTTATTTATTATGATTTGGTGTGTGTGTTTGGGTGTGCATGAGTGGTTGTGTGGGTACACACATCTCAAAGAACATTTGTGAGGATGTGAGAAGAATGTTGTGTAGTCAGTTGTCTAATTCTAATTTATGTGGGTTACAGAGACAGTTTGGTCATCAGCTTTATATAATAACACTTTTTAATCAATTTTTATCTCATGATGCCACCATTCCCTTTTGTATCTCTATTTATTTCATTTATAATTTATTTGTTGTATAAATTATTTGGGTTAGTTTCTACATTTCCTTGTGCAATAAAGACGTTTATATAACTTACTCTTCAAAATTTTGTCATTAGGGGATAGATAGATAATTCAGTGGTCAAAAGTACTTGAAAATTTTTAGAAGAGTGGCATTTGTTTCCCAGCACTCACATTAAGTGGTTCACAATTTTCCATGACTTCAGCTTCAAGGGAACTGACACTCTCTCTTCAAATCTCAGGGCGTGAGCGCACACACACACACACAGACTTATACTCCTATGAAAATGCACAAACGTATACAAAAATAAAAAATAAATCTTTTAAAAATAATTTTATTAACTACAAGTTTCTACAGCCTTGCATATTATCTGATTGGTCATGTATAAAGTCTCTCTCTCTCTCTTTCCCACTTCCTCTCTTCCTCACATCTCTCTCTACCAGATGACATAGTCCCTTCATTATGTTCATTGATGTGATTATTAATGATGTCATACAACCTTGATTCATGCCATCAATGGATTTTACTCAAAAGGTTTTTGTATTGATATTTATGGGAATCATTCTTCCCATCTCTGTCATTTAATCTTTCTGTCTTCATAGCACACTTTACCAGGAGGCAGGTACTTACTTGTTTGCTTATTGAACATTACTCCATGTTAACACTCAGATCTTGTGGTTGTTTGTTGTTGGATATAGCCAATATGTCTCATCACTTGATACATATCAAATAAAATGTGACAAAATAAATATCCAGGCTGATTATTATGGTGCAAGCCTGCAGTTATCACATTCATGGGACAGATTCAAGAAGATCAATAGTTCAAGACTATCCTTAACTACATGGCAAGACAGAAACAGCCTTGTTTACATACTCTTTGCAATCCCTGCCTCCAAATAAACAGATATCTTTTAAAACTACTTCAAAGTCAGAACTGTTAATTATCCACTACATTTACGTCATTGGCTTTCTACTGAGCCATCACCTGAGCCATTTTAATCACATTAAATGCCTTAACTCTGTTATGTATTGTGCAATTTACTTTCTCTCTATTATTTCTCTATAAATTATTTACCCCAGCTTTCAATAAAAAATTCTGTCATGTGTTGTGCAATTCCCTTTCTCTCTACTAATTCTCTGTAGATCATTTACCCCTGCTTTCAATCAAATATTATATTCCTCGAATTTGTGCACCCTACTGTTCTGATCATGGCATAACTCTTAACTTCTCTCTAGAATTGATTCAGTAAGTTCTACAGATGATGTTGAAGAATCCCAGTGTGCAATGGAGGCTGAGACGTGTACAGAAAGCCTTAGACCAGGAACAGTGAAGACACTGTGTCTCTTGAGAACACATCATAGTAGCCCTAGGAATGTAAATGAGGCTTTGAGGTAAAGCTTTTGGGCTATGCCTGGAAGGTCACTAGTTGTCTGGGGTTTGGAAACTTGGGTGCTGAGGAGTCACTAGTGAGAAGTGATGAGGGCTTAGATGTGGATGACAGAGTGAGGGGATCTCCCTCAGATATGGATAAGATAGTTCTCTAGACTTGATGATAATAAAAAGTCCAAATCTAGCCATGCCAAGACCTCTCTGGCTTACTATATTGATATGATTGCTTTTCCCCAACACATGCCTCCATCATTGCAGCCCACCAGGAGAATGACTCCATGTGGCATCAGGGATAAAAGAGAGAGGTGATGAGTTTACTAATGAGCATGATTTACTCAGGTCACTATCTGTGTATATGTGTCTAATGTGACATTGAATAGTGTAAATACTGGTTTGATTTTTATTAGTAAAGCTGTCTGCTGTTTGCAGAAAAGTGAATAATATCAGGAAGACATGACTTTCATTCTTAGTGATTGACACTTTTCTCTTCCCTTCACACAGTGGCCTATGGATCATGGTTTGAGCACACCCATGCCTGGCTATCCATGAGAGAAAGGGAAAACTACCTGCTACTGAGTTATGAGATATGAAAAAGGTAACTGGCATTCTTACAGCAAAAACAAAGCCTCTCACAAACTCACCCCATGCATCACCCCATATTACTCAGGATCCCCATATCAGCTTTAGGTTCATGAAGAGTCAATTGAAGAGAAATTATGCCCTATATCCTTTATTGACCTGCAGCTGACATTTTCTCTCCAGACTCTTTATCCATCATCCCTATCTTTACCTTATTCACCCTGGGGTAGGGTGGAGTAGCTCACACTTGTGCTAACAGTTTTATTAATTCTGTCTATACAACACATTTAATACACCTAATAACCCATTGTTCAGTGGGGAATGTGTAAAGCAGTTTCATTCTACTGTTTTGCCCAAATGTATGTCATTCCCCTGTACTGTAAGAAGAGGAACAAGGGCAGGAAATCCATCTGTGAATCCTGGGAGAGCACTAAGAGCTGTCACATTAACAGCACTTAGTGATAGTCACATCGGACTAGACATGTACAGGATGCAGCCTGTCAGGGAGTAATGTGTCCTGTACTCTGCAGTACAAAGGGTGGGCTAGAATACACTGGAGATTTCAAAACTCTTGGTAAAGAATATCTAAAATGTTTCAACATTAAGTAATGACATATGTCTAAATAGACTGATAGGCCACAGTCTTAATCAGATCATTGCAGGTTCCATTTCATTGAAATATTCCCACTGAATGTTATAAACATGTTTAAGTACTGTACATGTGTCTCAAATATCTCTTACTTTAAAATTTTTTTGAAAATCTTGGCAGGGTGTCACATGACTCTAAACATAGCATGGGCAGATAGAGACAGTTTCAGGGGGTCTAGATCATCCTTGTGTGTATGGTGGGTTTCAGGTCAATCTTGGCTATGAGAGACATTGTTTCAAAAGACCATTGAGGAATAGAATGTTAAGTTCATTTACATATTTTATTTTCATTTACTTAAAAAATACTCTCTCTAATGATGGACACACACTAATGACACTAAGCATATAAGCACAGAAATGTCCTCATATCATCATCAACTCAAAAGTTTAAGTAGTTTTAAAGTTATTAGTGAGAGGTAACCATCATTTACTTATTACAGATAAAGATATCAATTTCACTTTATACTGAGCAAGAAAAATGGTACTGAGCATGCAGTCTGTCAGAGAAAACACTTGCCCATCCTTAAAACAATCCAAAATATTAGTTAAGGAGGAAAAGAAGCTTCATTACAACCACTGTTTACCTTTTAGAAGTAGAGTCTGGTGATGGTGAAGGGTACTGAGAGTTGTAACTATTTGTTTTTATTTTTATTTCTCTTATTACATTTTTAACCTTTAAAATAATTTTTCAATTTAAATATATTTTGACCATGTTCTTCCCTCTCACAATTTCATCCAAATTTTCTATTCCTCCTTATTCACCCAGCCTTAAATACTTAAAAAAAAAACCAAACAAAATACAAATCAAACAAAATTCTCCATGAAAGAAGACAAATTGAAACAATACATAAAATGAAAAAACAATGAAAACACTGAACTGTAACCAAATAAAAGCAACCCCCAAATACACACACAAAAAAAAAACCAAACAAACAAACAAACAAAAAACGTGGAGTCTATTATATGTTGTTATGGTGGTATTTTATTTGTACTGAAATGTGATTTTATTTGTATGTTAATAAATAAAGTTGCTTGTGGGTCAGAGCTAATAGCAAGCCATAGCAGAGCTGGGGGTTTGTGGCCCATGCCTTTAATCCCAGCACTTGGTAGAAGAGCTAGGTAGATCTCTATGTGTTCAGGGATACAGCCAGCATTGGAGACACATGCCTTTAATCTCAATAACATAGAAGACCTGAAGGGCTGTACAAACAGACAGTGACGAGGCAGTCATGTGTTTGGATTTACAACCAATGAGAAGACAGAACAAAAAAAACTATATAAAAATAAGCACACAGGAAGTAGGTCTCTTTTTCAGAGAGGTCTCTTTGCTAGCTGCAGCAGGCAGGTAAGGCTCTTAGCTCTGATTTCTTGGCTTTCTTCTTTGCATTGGTTCTGTGTTTCTTATTTAATAAGATGGTTGGTTACATCTACACGTTGTTCAGCTCCTCCTGAACATGAAGACTGCATCTGAGTAGTTGATATACCCAGTGTCACTGCATTGAAGAAAATTGATTTTCCCTCTCCAAGCAGGTACAAATGAAAGTTGAGTTGTTAACCTTTCGCCTAGTGGCTAGATTTTAATTTATTTATTCATTCATTCAGTTTCTAAAAATATAACAAAATAAAGTACAATATGTTGAAATACTATTATTGCCTCAAAGTTGGACAAGACAAACCAACAGAAGGAAAACAGCACAAGACAAGGCACAAGCAGAGACCGACATGTTTGCACATTTTAGAAGCCATAAAATCACTAAACTTATAAGGAGAGGATTGGTGCAGACTGGTGTGGCACTTCCCATGATGCTCCAGTCTGTGGGTTCATATGAGCTTTTCTTATGTTTGTGTGGGAAGCCTTGTTTTTGGTGTCAAGAAATGGCCATTTGAGACACCATCTCCCCCATAATTAGGTTATACTATTTAGATGGTCTTTATATGTATAAAGAAGTTCCCTCAAATGTCCATTAACTTTAGCTGTGCCTCTCCATATCCGCTCCTCAAGTTTCCTTTCCTCATCCACACTTGGTCCTTCCATTCTAGTACTTAACTAGTCATCTATTATTTGCCTTCTAAGTTTAGATTTTTTATAATTATGACATACTGAGGGAACTTTCTTCCCTGACACAGTCTGTTTGGTGTACTGTATGCATCATTTACTTTGATAGGCATCTCTTTCTTAAGGATAGGGAAATATTCTTCTATGATTGTGTTGAAGGTATTTTCTGTGCCTTTAACCTGAGTTTTCTTCTTCATCCTCTATTTTTATTATTAAACTTATTATTTTCATACTGTCCCTGATATCCTGAATGTTTTTAACAGGATTTTTAGATTTAACATTTTCTCTGACAAATGTCTACATTTCTTCTATGTTGTCTTCAATGCCTGAGATTCTCTCATCCATTTCTTGTATTATATTCCTGAATATCATCTCCGAGTTTCCTGATTGATTCCCAAGTTTTTCTTTTTCATTTCCTTCAATTTGGGTTTTCATGATTTCAACTTTCATGTCTTGAATGGTATTTATTTCCTTCCATGGCTTGTATTTTCACAGATTCCTTCATGAGATTTATTCCTTTTTTTCTTTAAGGACCTCTATCATTTCCATACAGGATTTTTAGGGTCCTTTTCTTCTTCTGCAATTATGTTGGAATATTCAGGACCTGTTATAGTATGGTTGCTGGGTTCTACTGAAGACAGGCTGTCCTGGATGTTATTGATTATGCTTTTAGGCTGGCATCTATGCAACTTGGATTAGGAAAATTGTAGTTCTACATGCTGATATCTGGTCTTGTCTTTGCTGCATTGATGCTTCATTTCTTTTTCCCTTGCTAGGTCAGGCACTTAGGAGAGTGCGGGGGCTGCGTGTTGCATAGTAAGAAATTCTTATGGGATCCTGATAAGTGTGTCCACTGGGGATTTCAGGTAAAATGTTTCCAGGTATAGAAAGCTGACATTTAGGAATGGAGATGACTAGGTGGAGGACATAAGAAGATTCACAGAAGAGAAGAGAACAGAGGACCTGTTTAGTCACCTGGGAATGGGACAACTGAGTGAGATCAGGCCACAAGAGAAGGTTTGATATGATGGTATGAATAAAACTGAATATCAGACTTAGAGGAATGGAAGGAGAGATGAAAATCTCCAGGTAACCTACTTGCTTTCCTGGTTAGGGGGCAAGTTGGTTCTTCGGTAGTGTCTTCTGGATTTCAGGATTTGCTAGGCCAAAAATTGAGAAGGGAGAAGAAATTCTGTTTGTTAAAATCTGGGTTACCCACATGAGACAGGGGCATGTGGGGGAGAGGACTGCAGCAGGTGTTTTACACAGAGCTTTAAATGAGACTAGGAGACTGGACTTGGAGGAACAAATGGAGATGTGAAGATTTGCATATAACATAACTGTTTTCCTGCCCAGCTTGGGCTGTAGGTTCCTATGGAATGCTTGAAGTAGTGCACGTGTGGGACAAATCAACTCATTGTGGTATGGATGTTAGGAGGGATCAGGGAGATCCACTAGAAATTGGGGTGGCTAATGCAGGTGTTCTGCTGCAGAGCTGGGGGCAAGACAGGGAGATTGGACTCAAAGGAATGAAGAAGGTGAAGATCTGTAGTTAGCTTACCTCTTCCCTGGCCACAGTGGTCTGTGGATTTGCAAGGAGGGTATGTTGGAGTTGGATGTTCAGATAGTACATGAATTGGAGGAATGGGGTAAGAAAACCTAGATGATGAGAAATGCCACAGATTATCTGTGGCATAACTGGAAATAAGACAGGAAAATTGGATCTGAAGGAGCACAGGGAAAGATAAAAATCTGAAGTCAGCCTACCTGCTTCCCTGGCAGGTATTGTTGGATTCTTTAAAGTCTTATTAATAGAAAACCCTGAGCCAGATGTTGGGGTAAAAGCTGATATCAGAGAAGCAGAGCAATCCACAGCCTACCTCACATTGACAACTCCTCAGCTGACACTGGAGGCCTCTGAGTCCTCACCTGGAAGGCCTCAGCCAAAAAGAGCCTTTAGTTCCTGTCTTCTTATGCCTTATATACCTTTCTTCACCCTGCCATATTATTCTTGGGATTAAAGGAATGTGTGCTTCCCAAGCAAAATCACACAGCCCACCAGGAGAATGACTCCATGTGGCATTGGGGGTAAAGCTGTGAGGTGATGAGTTTACTAATGAGCATGATTAACTCAGCATACTATTTGTATGTACGTGTCAAATGTCACTTTGAATAGTGTAAAACTGGTTTGATTTTTATTAGTAAAGATATCTGCTATTTGCAGAAAAGTTACTAATATCAGAAAGGCATGACTTTCATTCTTTGTAATTGACACTTTCCTCTTCCTTTCATACAGTTGCATATGGATCATGGTTTGAGCACACCCGTGCCTGGGTTTCCATGAGAGAAAGAGACAACTTCCTGCTACTGAAGACATAAAAAAGGTAAATGTCATTCCTACAGCAATCACAAAGCCTCTCAGAAACTCATCCCATGCAGCACCCCATATTTCTCAATATCCCCATGTCAGTTGTATGTTCATGAAGGGTCAATTGAAGAGAAATTATGCCCTATATCCTTTATTGACCTGCACCTGGCATTTTCTCTCCAGCCTCCTTATCCATCATCCCTATCTTTACCTTATTCACCTTGGGGTAGGGTGGGCTAGCTCACACTTGTGCTAACAGTTTTATTAATTCTGTCTATGCAACACATTTAATACACCTAATAACCCATTGGTCAGTGAGCAATGGGTAAAGCAGTTTCATTCTACTGTTGTGCCCAAATGTATGTCATTCCCCTGTACTGCAAGAAGAGGAACAAGGGCAGGAAATCCATCTGTGAATCCTGGGGGAGAACAAGAGCTGAAGTCACATGAACAGCACTTAGTGATACTCACATCTGACTAGGCATGTACAGGATGTAGCCTATCAGGGAGGACTGTGTCCACTGCTCTGTAGTACAGAGGGATCTGCATGGTGAGCTAGAATACATTGGAGATTTCAAAACACATTGTAGAGACTGTCTAAATGTTTCAACATTAAGTAATGACATATGTCTAGATAGACTGATAGGGCACACTCTTAATTGGAACATTACAAGTTCCATTTCATTGAGATGCTCCCACAGAATTTTATAAACATGTTTAAGTACTCTATATTTGTCTCAAATATCTCTTATTTTAAAAATTTTTTAAAAAGTGTCTTGGCAGGGTATCACATGACTCTAAACCTAACACTGGTGGATAAAGACAGTTTTCAGTTGTTCTAGATCATCCTTGTGTATTTTGACAGTTTCAGGTCAATCTTGGATACAGGAGACACTGTTTCAAAAGACCATTAAGGAAATTAATGTTAACCTTATGTATTTTATTTTCATTTAGGTAAAAAATACTCCATCTAATGATGGACATATACTAATTACTCCAAGCATATAAGCAGAAAAATATTCTCATATGATCAGCAACTCAAAAATTTAAGTAATTTGGAATTTATAAGTGAAAGGTAACTATCATTTACATATTACAGATAAAGATATCAATTTCACTTTATACTGAACAAGAAAAAATTGTACTGAGCATGCAGTCTGTCAGAGAAAATACTTGTCCATCCTTAGAACAGTCCAAAATATTAGGTAAGGAGGAAAAGAAGCTGTATTACAACCACTGTTTACCTTTTAGAAGTAGACTCTGGTGATGATGAAGGTTACTGAGAGTTGTAACTATTTGCTTTCATTTTTATTTCTCTTATTACATGTTTTAACCTTTAAAATAAAATTTCAATTTAAATATATTTTGGTCATATTCTTTCCCTCTCACAAATTCTTCCAAATTTTACCTTCTTTATCCACCCAACCTTAAATTCTTTCAGAAAGAAACAAACAAAACCTAAATAAAACAAAATTCTCCCTGAAAGAAGTCAAAATAAAACATTATATTAAAAGGAAAACAATCAGACAGGCCCGGCGACAGAGACAAGCAGACGCAGGTAGGCCTGCGGCGGGGGCCGGTGGAGGTAGACGGGCCCAGTGGCGGCAGCCGACAGGGATATTCAGACCCAGCGGCAGCTGGCAGAGACATTCAGGCCCAGCGGCGGCCCACAGAAGTAGACGGGCCCAGCGGCGGCCCGCTGAAGTGAACGGGCCCGGCGGCAGCGGCCGACAGGGACATTCAGGCCCAGCGGCAGCCGGCAGAGACATTCAGGCCCAGCGGCGGCCCACAGAGGTAGACAGGCCCGGCGGCAGAGACAAGCAGACGCAGGTAGGCCTGCGGCGGCGGCCCGCGAGGGTGGACGGGCCCAGCAGCAGCCCGCTGAGGTAGACGGGCCCAGCGGCGGCAGCCGACAGAGATATTCAGGCCCGGCAGCAGCCGGCAGAGACATTCAGGCCCAGCGGCGGTCCACAGAGGTAGACAGGCCCGGCGGCGAAGACAAGCAGACGCAGGTAGGCCTGTGGCGGCGGCCTGTGGAGGAAGACGGGCC